GCTGTCCGCACCAAAATTCTGAAAGTCATGCTGGTGAGCCCTCTCGCCCCTCCTCCATTCCAAAACGTCACAAGCGGCGGGTCTTACTGCCCAGCTCCATCCAGAACCACTCCAACAGCCCTCACTTCTACCGCTTACACCCTGGTCCGGGCCACCACGGCCTCTCAGGGGACCACACGGTGGCCTCCCAGTTCTCCTTGCCACCGCATGTGCCTCCACCTCCACTCAGAATTTGCAGTGATTTTTCCAGGAGGCAAATTTTGATCAAATGTCACTCTCCTATGTAAAACTGGTCCCTACTAGCTGGCCATTGCTCTTAGACTTGAAACCTACATCCTAACAGAACCTATGAGGTCCTGAATGAGCTGCCCCTCTCCCCCATCTGTGTCCAGACAACCACATTTCATGCATCTCGCTTGCCTCAGGACCTTGGCACTGCCATTCCCCCACGACACTGCTATCTCCACGAGGGTACGGATAACATCTGCTTTGTTCACCGTTCTGACCTCCCCAACTAACAACTTACAGTTGGCCTTGATAAACATGTTTTGAATAGACCCTTAAACAACAAGAGAATGGGCACGGCCTCTGACTGACACAGGGGGAAGAGCCTCAGAAGGAATAAAGGACAACTTACCACCAAGTTCCACTGCTGGGTTCCAGTGGGAAATTCCCAAGTGGGTCTTCCAAGGGGTGAGTCTGATCAGGTGTGTCCTCTGGACCAACAGGCCTCAGGTATGACGGGTCACGTCTAAACTGCAGGAAGAAGCATGAGATGTTCTGTCACAAAAGGATGGCTTACATGTTGGCTTTTCTACTCCCTCCACCTTCCTCTGTGCCTAAGATGCAGGCAAGTCAGGAGATAGGCTACATTTTCCAGTTCATAGTGTAACAGGGGAGAACAAATCTGACAAATGTTTCTTTTACTTTGACCTTTGTATCTATTGCTTTTGCTACAAGTTAATCACTCTAAGAATGTTGCCCATAAGTTTAAATTACACACAATGACCCATCTGTGGGAACCTGCCTCCCAGGTAATGAGCATTAAGCTAAAATGCTTCCGTTTAGCTCACAGGGAACATCCTGACCAGGCCCACCTATGAATGACTGCATGCAGGAAGGACAAAATTAACACACCCTCTCTGGAGGCTGACCAGAACCCGAAATATTTGACTTTACTCCCTCCCCTTTTGGTATAAAAGAAACCTAAATTCTAACCCAGGTAAGACACTAGTCTTTGAGACACTAGTCCACCATCTTCTCTGTCTGCTAGCTTTCCAAATAAAGTCGCTATTCCTCGCCCCAACACCTTGCCCCTTGATTTACTGGCCCGCTGTGCAGGGACCAATACGAGCCTGGACTTGGTGACAGTAGCGCTGAGGGCTAAGGGACTGAGAGCTGAAACTTAGCTCCAGCCTGCCACTCTTCTTTCCCTTCACCCGAATTTCCTGGTGTAGATCAATGCAAAAATACACACACATAAGCTTTCATGAGTCTCTGAGTAGAATTCTACATTCCAAGATGTGACTAGAGCAATCGTGAGCAGGGCTAGTTATCCCTCTTTGCAGCGTGGTGGCACGCCATTGGCTGGTGACAAGCGGGGCAGACCTGACGCCACAAGTCAGCACCCAGGCCTGCTCTACACGTTTCCTGAATTATATAAACATGACTGGTGCTCAGCGGCTTAGGAGAAGTGTTACTGTGGGTCAAATTAATCAATAAAAATCAACATAAAAACCAACAAGCATGATGCACGTAGCAAACTCTCAGGGAATTCCCAACTAGCCACCAAATACTTAAAAACAGAAATTCTCATATTTCAGTAAACCTTCAAGCTGACATAAAAAATCGAACTTTCAGAAGTTCTTCTACTCCTCTCTCATTTTGTTAATAAAATGTCTTTAAACTCCTTAGACTCACAGAACAAGACAATATGTTGAATTGTCTTAGGTTTTATCCAAAAGTTCGAAAGCATCTAGGGTTCCAAGCAAGCAGCACGGGCAAGTAAAAGAACCATCAGAAAGCTGGGCTTCAGCCTGGAATTTGGAACTGAAAAACTGTCAGTCTGACCAAAGCTCAGATTATTTCAATACAGCAAACACCTTCTGAGCACCAGTGAAGTTCCCGGCGGCTGACAGACCCAAACGTAGGTAAGATCAGGTGCTTCCAGGACCCACAGTCTGACAGGGGAGGCCGGAACACGCGTGTGTAATGTGAAGCCAAGCTAGACTCTGAGATTTAGAACGATGGGCAGAGGAGACGTGAGGGGAAGACGGCAGGCAGGAAGAAGACTGGAGGCCTCTCTCCCAGAGGTGGCCACCGACAGTGCAGGACGCAGGCAGCACGAAGGGCTCACCGCAGAGGGGCGCCACGCTGATCCGAGCAACACAAGAGGCAGCCTGTGATGACCCACCGCCGCCCCCACACACGACTCAGGCAGCTGGGCGTGCCCCCCACACCACCCTCAACTGGGAGACTGGAAAAGGCAAGTACGTCCACCTGGGGACACTGGGAGCTCCCGCAACAAGATGTTCAGGTCCCCGCAATTACTCTGCAGTGAGGACACCACTGACACGCCCCACTACACCCACCACACTGTCAGGATCTCGCTCCAAAATCAAACACCCCCAGCTAAGCCATGAAAACATGGGGAGGTCTCTCCAAGCCATCAGCGGGGCCAAGTGGAAAGTGAGCCAAAGTACCGCGACAGCCCCACCAGCAGAAGCACCGCGTGTGTGCTGACTAACCCCCCAACTTTTTTTTTTGAGATTTAAGGGTTTTATAACAACTTCTTCACACCTGGCAGGGAAGCCGATGATGCTAACCATCTTCTTATAATGCAAATCCCCAAAGACCTTGTGTCCCTCTAAGGGATGATGTTCTCTTAGGGAAATGGTTAAGGGTGACATAAAAAAAATAGGAACACAGGAAACCGTGAGAACCTGCAAGTTGTGTAAATATTTCCTAATTTTATAAAAAAGAAAACGTAGGACAGTAATCTCTAGCCTTCTCAATGCACTCAGTGAATTTGGGTGCTCTCTGGTGAGTAAATTCATCTCTTTTCTTCCTTCATCTTTCTGGGCTCTGGGACTGAGGGTCTTCAACCACCTTCCATCCTCTGCTCTCTGCCCCTTCCCCCCGCCCACTCATAACAGGGCTCTAAGGCCTCTCCGTCTCACCAGGCTGATTAGAGAGCTTGCCAGTGATTACACAGCATGAAAAAGTCCTCTATATGGCTGCATGTAAAGTATGATTATTATTAATTCAAAAGTGGTCCAGCAAGATAATGCCTTTGAGGGGATGTGTATAACCAACTCTAATGCCTCTTAAGTAAAACTGAATATACCGCTCGACTATCACTGTGTACGAAGTTTTAATTACCAGAGCTGTTTGGGCAGACAGGGAAAGAAGAGCAATGATTTATTGATGCCCATTTTACTGCTACTATCAAATGCCAAGCAACAGAAAACACTGCCCACCTGTTCTATCCTACAAACACGTCCACCCACAGCGCAGAATCGATTCTTCTGCCGTGAGGGAAAATCTAGTTCTTGCTGTTTGATGTTCAGAGGACACTCAGTTCATTTCATCTCTCCATTTACCACCAGAATAGATAGAAAAAAATTGAACAGAACCTCCTGGTCTTACGCCCAGCACCAGCCTCCGACACTCACACATATTACTTCAACTAACAGTGTGCCAGTCTGAAATAAAAATGCTACAATGACATTCATCATCTAATTATATTCCTTACCTGAAACCGCCACAATGTTAAACCCGGCCTCATGAGCTGGGCTTAAAGAACTGACAAGGGCTGCCCCAAAACTGAACACAAAGCGAAGGTCGAGATGTCCACGGGAGACATCAGAGCTTTGAGTATGCGCTGCTTTCAACGCCAGTTATGTGATGCTTAAATGAGCAAGACGAAATGGTTTCAAACGGAGCAGAGATTTCCTGAGGGAGTGAGGTTGAGGGAACAAAAAATAAGCGCTCGACCCAACAGCAAGTTACACCACTGCCTTTTGTCCTGAGGGACAGCATGTCCTGAGCGTCCTGCTCAAAACTTACCCCGCGATCTGACCCTCGGTGCACGGGGCCCTTCTGAACCTGACGCTGGCCCAGGGACAGATCTGGAAGCAAATGCACACCGGGTAGCAGCAGGGATTTAAGCCAAAAGTAAGGTCCAAAGGCTTTGAAACTGGGAATCAGTATGAATTCAGAGGCAGCAAAATACCCTCCCCGTGTCTCAGCACACAAGAGCAGACCCCATCCAGAGCCAGCCCGACTCAGGAGGTCGATTTTTCTATGTCTAAGCCGAATCTCATGAATCCATCAGACCCTTCCCCGTCACCAAAAGCGGGTACTTACAAGATGCTGGGGATCTCTAGTGGATCAGACGGACTAGCCTCGGCCCCCCGCAGCAGCGCCGGCTGCCTGTCCCCTGCGGACGCCAGCCTCTCTGAGCCTCCGATGTTTGTGCTCGGCATCAAGCTAGAAGACTGTTTACTTATTCATGGACTGCCTGAGCCGGCCAGGAACTGCTTTGTGTCAGCTGAATAGGATGGTAATTCAATCTCCAAATGGGGACTGTTCAGCACACGGCATATCTGTCATAATGAGTCACGCAGATAAAAAGAACACAGCTCTCAGAGCCATGGGTGAAGCGTCTGTTTGGACAGTGAGCAGTATTTCCAGGACACTACCGCTACCCCTCCTCCCCTCCAAGTCACCCCACCTCAGGCTGAGTGCTCCATGGGACTCCGGACACGTGGGAATCGCACCCCTGGCAGAAGAACAGGAGTGCAGGAAACGCTCTCTCTTCCCTCGCAAGCACGAACATTTGAAGAGAAAGGAGGTGGAAAGGTTTGGGAACTGACAAAAGAAACTTAAGGGGCAACGATGCCAGAGGAAACAGAGTTCATCTGTAGCAAAGGTTTCCACTGTGGGACGCCTTGCATGCATCACCTCAAAGACAGCGGGGTCTCCGGCACCTGGAGATGATGGCATTCATTCAGCCGCGGGATCCAGAGGACGGCCTGCCGTCCAGAGTGAGAGGGCCCCAGTCAATGGTAGCGTGAACGACTCCCGGTCCCCAGAGAG